CCTCCTCCTGGCCCAGGTCCTCATCCTGCCCCTCGATGGCTGTCGTCTGCAGGAGACACAGACATGCACTGTCAGGGGCATTGCAGGGTTGGGGGGGAGGGGGTAGGGAGTTGTGGGATGGGCATGAGGGGCCGTCAGGATGGGGGACCTCAAGGATGGGCTGGCAGGAGGCTGTGAGGGGCCCCAAAATGGGGAGGCAGTGGCTGGGGGGCACTGGCAGAACTGGGGTGCCCTGGGAGGGCTGAGTCAGGAATGAGGGGTAGAGGCCAAGTGCTGGAAATCAGGGGCACTGGCAGGGCTGGGGGCAGCAATGGTTGAGGTCTCACCTCGTCTTTGCAGCGCAAGAAGGTGTGGTACTTGTAGTGATGGAGGGAATGGTACAGTGTATAGAAGAATGACTTCTCCACATCCACCTTGAACTCCTGCAAGGGGAGGGGGACTGGGCTCATATCAGTGTTCCAGACTCCTCCCCCAACAACCCTAGACACCCCAAACCCAACCTGGGGGAGGGGCTTCCCCAGCCCACCCCAGCCCCTTTGCTTCTTCTGTAAGGTCTATGCTGTGTTGTTCTCTTCTTCCAACACCAGCGTTATACCCTCACCCATGCCCCAGCATCCTCCTAGGCCCCCCACCTACCTGCGGCTTGGACACATTCTTCTTCAGCTTGTTGAGGGTCTTGCGGTTGTAGGGCTCCCCGGCTGGGCGTAACTTCACTAGAGATTCACCCGGTTCTGTGTGCAACTGGGGGAAGGTGTGTAGCGCCTCCTAGGGGGGAAGAAAGGAGGTAGCATCAGCAGGGCGTTGGGTACTACATGGTACCCAGTGTGGGATGAGTATGGGCTCCCCCTCTCCCACCCAGCCCCATCTCCCTCAGCTTTACCCACCCCCCAGTACCTGCAGCGTGGGGCTCAGTGTCACCCGCTTCAGGACCTTCTTCTTGTGGTCATTCAAGATCCCATCAATCTTCCTCATGGGAGGTAGGTAGAGCTCATCTAGAGGAAGAGAAGGAGGTAAAGAGCAAAGGTCACAGCATCACCCCCAGCTGGCCTGGGTATGAGGACTTGCTTGGGCTGTCTCCCCTCAGGATGCCCCCTTTCCTACAGTGTTGGAGAGATGGTGGGGAGGGGTTGGTACCCACCATTGGTGTCCTCCAGGGCCTGGATCATGTCTGGGTCGAGGGCAGTGCTGACCAACATCTCCACATAGCTGCGGTACATCTCCTTCATGGCCCGTGTGTTCAGGACCCGGCCCGTCGGTACCCGCTCTGGGGGGGGGCAGGAGGGGGAGACATGCAGGGGAGGGTGTGAAGGTATGTGTGAGGTAGGTCCCAGCCCCACTCAGCCCAGCAGCTGAGGCAGCCCCTCAATCCCCACAGTTCTTCTCCCACTCAAGACTCAGCCCGTCTCAAAGACAGCCCCTTCCAGAACAGAGCCCCTCCCCCAACCATTAAGCCCTCCCAAAGTAAATCCCCCCAAAAGACACCCCCTCTAACCTTTGACTCCCAGTATAGAGTGAATTCCCCCTCCTCCATCCACATAGCCCCACCCCTGGGGCTAAGCCCCTCCCCTCCATGAAGCCACACCCATATCTAACCATAGCTCATTTGCATTCACTCTTATACTCTCTATTAGCTAGGACCATGGGTGTGGGGTGGAGGCTCCATTCCCAGGGCACAACATGGAAACACCCCACAGTGCATAGTTGTGAGGCTCTCCAAGTGCTGGGGCATGCAGGTGCGCGCACACATACGGGTGTGTAGAAACCAAGTACACAATCAAGTGTGGGTAAACACCTCAGCCTCTAGGCAGCCACGCCCAGAACTCCGTATCTTTTGTGGTGTCTCACATAGGATGCGAGGGACAGGCAGCTGCCCAGACTCCATGGTGCCCAGTGGGACCACAGAATTGTGCACCTGTAGCAGGCCTGAGGCAAGGGGACTGGTTACAGGTGAGGGGAAAGGAGTACAGTTGGTCCTGTCTGGGTGTAGTCCCCACTGTTTTCAAGGCTGTGGACAGGCACCTTCCAAAGATCTGGGGGCTGGGAAAGCACCACTAAAGCAAGACAGTGAGCAGGGAGACTGTGAGGTAAAGGGGAAAGGCTGTGGCCAGGTTCCCAGGCTGTAGGTGGGATGGGGTAGGGATTAGGGCACCTGGGTTGCCCTGATCCCCCGTGCAGTGTTAATGGCTTTTGGGGGGTGGAGAGGAATTAGTTCAGTGGGGGTTTACCCTCTCACCCGTGATGCTTTGGGGCAGCTGGGTCCCTGCACCCACAGGGGGATCCAAAGAGAATTGGGGTAGAGGCTCTTCTAGGGGCAACTTTGGTGCCCCCGGCTCCTAGAGGGGCAGGAGGCGTGGGGGCAAGAGAGCCCCTGGGGCACGAAGATGAGCTGTACCCCAAGAGTCGGGTGTACGGTAGCTCCAAGGAGTCAGGGCAGGAGCACAGAAGGGGAATGGAGGGCCTGTTGTGAAAGAAGGTGGGTGCTGTGTAAGGAGGTGGCGGTGGAATACAGACAGGAGCTGCAGAGATGGGGCTGGGGTAGATAGGGTAGGTAGGAAAGTGCATGTGTGCGTGGGCGTGTGTGTAAGTATGTGCGAGTGTGTGTCTGGGTGCTGGGGAACAGAATGATTCAGGCCACAGGGGTGTAGACCAGTGAATGAAATGGGCTGCCTTTGGGGCACTGGCCATGTGTGCATGCATGTGTGTGTGGCTGTGGGGGGTAGGGACCACAGCATTTCATGTCACAGGGTGTGAACAACAGTGAATAAGATGGGGCTGCTACTGAGGCATGGGCTGTGTTGAAGATGTGTGCACGTTCGCACATACGTGCATGTATGTGTGTATGTGTGGGTGGGGATCAGAGTATTTTATGCCATGGGGTGTCAGCAGCAGTGAAAGAGACAGGGCCTGCCTTTGAGGCACTAGCAGCGTGTGCATGTACGTGTGCGCGTGTGTTTGCATGTGCCTCTTGGCTGGGAGAGGAGGAAGGGGGCAGGACTTGGGCGTTTCATGGCACAGGGTGTAGTCCACAGCCAATGAGATGGGGTGGGTGTGGAGGCACTGGGGGTGGGGTGGGGTGGGATGTCGCTTAAGGCATGAGCTACTGGGTGGAGGAAGAGGGGGGAGGTTCTGTACCCAGAACTCAGGCAAGAACAAGGGGCTCAGAGCTGCCCTGGGGCAGTGAAAGGCTGGAACTGGGCCCCCCAGGGGCAGTTGGGTGCAGGCACCATCCACCAGCATGGGGTGGGGGGCTGGGTGCCTGGGGGAAGGTGTCCCCCCAGTCCGGGCTCACCCTCCTCGCTCTGCTGGTCAGGACTGGAGTCTGAGTCCGAGGAGGACGCCGCCTCCTTGAGCCATTTTTTCCTCTTCTTGGGGGGTGGCTCAGCCTTCACCTTGGCGGGTTTGGGTTTGGTGGTGCCACCCGGGGCAGCCTTGGGAGGGGTGGGGGCTGGTGCTTCCAGCTTCTCTGCCTGGGGAGCCTTCTCCGCCTTGGCTGGCTTGTCTGGCCGAGGCGGCTTCTCAGCCCGCTCCGCCTTAGGGGGTTTCTCCGGCTTGGGCACCCGCTCTGGCTTCTCCACCTTTGGGGCCTTCTCCAGCTTTTCGGGCTTGGGTGCCCGCTCCAGCTTCTCGGCTTTTGGGGTCTTCTCAGGCTTGGGCGGCTTCTCCAGCTTCTCTGCACGCTCTGGAGCCTCTGGTTTCTCAGCCTTGGGCGGTGCCGGGGCCTTGGGACCCGAGGCCTTGGGCTGACTCTGCCTCCTGTGCCAGGAAGGGGGTGGGGGGAAGAAAACAGGGCTATTAGGGAGCCCAGCATAGCTGTGGGGGATGCTGGGGGGCTGGACCCAGACTAGGGAGATGTGCTAAGATTGAGGGGGCCAGGGATCCATGGGTCTGACAGCCTGGGATTCGCTCTAGTTCCTGATAGGGTGGGGGGAGGGAGAGGAGCAGGACTTTAGGTCAGCTCCAAGGTAGGAGGCTGACTGGAAGACGAGGGACCCCAGAGCCCCCACTCCCCATGGAGCAGGGCACGGATGATCCATAAGGGTCACCCCGAGCCCAGCCACCCCTCATAAGACCACCCTTTGCTCCCAGCCCAAGCCCCACACCTCCAAAGACAGCCCCCCCGCTCCCAGCTCAGCCCCTAAGAAACCCCCTCTCTGCCCCCAGCTCAGCCCCTGCCCCCAAAAGACCCCCTCAATGCCTCAGACCAGCCGCCCTGCCCAAGAAGCCCACTCTCTGCCTCAGCCCAGCTCCCCACGCCTGGGAGCCCCCTCACCTTACAGCCTGCAGCGGCCGATGCCAGGGCTTCTTGGAACAGACACGAACATAATCCTTCTTGTTGATGTTTTCCAGGAACTTGACATAGAGGCGCTGGTACCGGTTTTTGGCATCACCGAAGTAGCCCAGGTACTGAGGGGTGGGGCAGGGAGCGGAGATCAGGGAGGAAGCTGTCAGCCCCTTCAGGGGCACCCCAACACACCTAGGGAATGGAGTAACGGGGACCCATCGCCAGCCCTTCACTCTCCACCCTCTCTCAGCATCACTC